GCTCTACAACATGAAATTTTCTGTCTCATTTTGCAAGTAGAATTACAGCAAACACGGTGTCAGGTCGTTTCGTACTCTTGTCATTTCGTACCCATATCCCTAGTCGTTTCGTACCCCGATTTTAGTCGTTTCGTACTCAAACGCTATATGACTGCTTATATTGCAATCAGTTCAGTTTTTATTAAAAGCGTTGATAATAACCACTTTCTTTGTTGACTTGAAACTCTGTATTGCAACATTTAAGTTCTTCATTCGGCAGTTCAAATTTATCGTTTTGAAAATGGTCCGAAAGTCTACACGCACACTTAAGCGCAAATGGCCATGTGGTACTTGCAGTCTGCAATGCAATGACAATTCGATTTTTTGCGAAGGATGCCGAATGCATGTGGTACCATTCTTGTTGTGAGAACCTGTCTCCGAGAGATTTAAAAATTTTACAAGACCTAACCGAAGATTATCTGTGTTCGTCTTGTACGCGTGTTGGACTGTTGGCGATGTCTTTGATTTCCAAAACGCGCTCCAACGGCTGACAAGTGCGACACGTGTTGGGAGGCTAGAAAGTGCTGCTAAAGTTGAATGTATTTTGGTCGTCGTGGAATATCGTTCTACAAGCTAATTGAGCTATTTCATAAGGAAGCCTTGCTTGTAGAACTTAACATTCAGTTAGTTTCTGAAGGAAAAGTGAGGCGGATCCTTTAATGTAACCCGGTGTACAAAGATCTTTGTGTCAATAGTTAGTGTTCAGTTGTATAAGTAAAAAATAAACGGACAGATCACGGATATATTTTTCGGCAGTTGAAATGAGCTTAAATAAAATATATTTGTCTTCTTGTTTTTGCAAAGCTAGCTCATTAAGTCCCTCATGTGTAAAGTTCGAAACGACCTTGTCTGGGTACGAAACGACCATGTCTGGGTACGAAACGACCATGTCTGGGTACGAAACGACCATGTCTGGGTACGAAACGACCAGGCCTGGGTACGAAACGGCAGAAGTACGAAATGACAAGAGTACGAAACGACCATAAACCGCAAACACCAATTACATTCTTACAATGCACTTCCCGTTCTTCTACCTTAACTTTACCTCTGCATGACAAGCATGAAAGAGATTTTGTAATACTGTTGACGCCAATTATATAAGCAGAAATCGTGGTAAGACTCTCTACTGGGAGACTATCGCTTTCGCACACATTCATTAAGTCAGCCGTCCCTTCAAAGGTGAATTCGCCAGTTTTAGGGGTGTTAACATATTTCTCACCCCGGCTCTCCTTTAGACGCTGATTACGAAGAATGTATGTCTGCCCTTTTTCGAGTTTTTCCACTTCATTCTCCCATAGTATAATCTTTATTGAAGTAGTTTCATCAGCGAGAACCCCCTCTTGTTTCTTTAACACACCATGAGAAGTATGCTGGACTTTCACCCCAGAAAGATCCGTAATTTTGGCATGTAAACTAACAAATTGCTCCAACAAGGTATTCTGTAAAGACGATATGCTTGCTACGGCCGTGGATGAAGACATCTCTCGATACTGAAATCGCATTGACTCACTGGCAGTTGGTTTTATCGAGGTATAGTTGTTGATCAGAACATCACTGGAGCCCTTGTTTGAACCGATTTTGAATTGGCCAATCTTTACAGGAGATTTTGATTCTTGATATTTGGCCAACTCACTTCGCCGTTTTGGGGAGAACGAAACAGCTCGAACTACATCAGTTGATGATGTTTGTAGTTGCGCAGTGAAATAATCTGCCTTTTGGCTATGTCTCACTGGAGACAGACTGTGCACAAAGCACAAAATATCTTTCCCCTCCTCAACACCTAAAATAAATAAATATAAAAAATATAGCCTACTATATTCACCAAAATCCCGACTTGGTTCACGCTCCTCTACTTGGCTATCCAACTCCAAGCTGTCTCGGGTTTTTTTACTATTTGCCTTGTTTCAAACAACAGGAAGATCTTTCATTATACATACCTTGGTTTTCAGTATTTTCACAGGCTTTAGAATTCTCATGCGCCATTTTGAGAGAGCCAAAAAATCAACGAAAATATTAAAAAATATCGCGAAACGGTACTGCAGCAGAATTGCAAGCGCCAAGACGAACTGACGAATGCTCACAGCTCACATGGAGTAGCGTAAACCACGTGGCGCACGTCATTCTTTTCTAACCACAGGCGTTCCGGATGCCAATCACGTGCCATTCAATACAGAATAATATACAGAATTATCCCGACGCACTCAGAACAAGCTTGGATCAGTGGCTTGGATGCGCAGTGGCAAGTGGCAACTAGCGTCTCGCCAGCACTTTCCTTGCGGTAGTAACTACTAGTAATAATAATATTGCCGTTACTGCCGTTTTTGGTGTTATTAACGTTATTGCCGTTATTATACCGTTATTGGTGTTATTGGCGTTATTAATTGCCGTTATTAGCGTTATTGGTGTTATTCCTGTTATTGGCGTTATTGGCGTTATTGGGGTTATTGGTGTCAAAAAGTATACTATTATGTAATAATCTTGTATATATAACGCTAATAACGGCAGTAAGGCTAATAACACCAATAACGCCTATAACATCAATAATGGCAATAACGCTAATTACGACAATAACGCCAATGACGGCAATAGCGCTAATAACGGCAATAACAGTAATAACGGCGATAACGCTAATAACACCAATAACGCTAATAACGGCAATAACGCTAATTACGGCTAATAACACCAATAACGCTAATAACGGCAATAACGCTAATTACGGCAATAACGCTAATAACGCCAATAACACCAATAACACCAATAACGGTAGTAACGCCAATAACGGTAATAACACCAATAACAGTAATAACGGCAATAACGCTAATAACGGTGATAATGGCAATAACGGTAATAACACCAATAACGGTAATAACGCTAATAACGGCGATAATGCTAATAACGCTAATTACGGCAATAACGCTAATAACGGCAATAACGCTAACAATGGCAATAACACCAATAACGGCAATAACGGCAATAACACCAATAACAGTAATAACACCAATAACGGTAATAACACCAATAACAGTAATAACACCAATACCGGCAATAACGCTAATAACGGCAATAACGCTAAAAACGGTAAAGAAAGAAAGGTAAGAAAGAAAAGAAAGGTAAATTCAATACAAAACACATCAGCATTATTCTCATTTAACGACGTCATTTCGGTACTCTTATATGGAAATCGAGCCCATTTTCTTTTGCGGCCTGTTGCTGCTAAGTTTTGCGGCAATGCCGGGATCTTATCATGTGAGGCATTATTATAGGGTGCTTTGTGATGTTTTTAGGGTGCTGTATAATGTAATGCTATGTATAGCGCATATTTTGGAGCCTGTATAATTGTCTAATTTTGTCTACTTTCCTGCTAGGTTTGCACGCGCTGCAAACCATGATAGCAAACATGTTATTTGCGTTTGCTATAGGTTTGCGATACTGCATTCGCGGCCATTGCCACTTTTTCAATAGGGTTTGCAATAGTTGCAAATATGTTTTTTCGTCATGTGTAATATTCTTAATTGCATGCATATTACTGTATAAGAATCGGGCCTGCCGTTATCACAATACGGATAGTATTGATCGATGCCATTATTAAGGTGGGGAACTAGAGGAGATTTCTCCAAATATTTTCTCTTTTTAGGACACCTCATTTCTAAATAACATATATTATTTAACCCACCCATCCTCACGCCCGACCATTTTCAATTACATAAAAACATGAACTGAGGATCAAAAGAGAGACAAGGTTCTTTAATTATTATATGCAAACATGTTACAAAGTGTGTAACATGTTTTATTGTGTGTACCATGTTACAAAGTATCTATAAAATATTTTTAGCCCCCGTTTTAATGACAATACTCCCCTTGATTGCCTTAAATATTTGGTGCCCCACACGATCTCAATGCTCCAGCTCCACCCGGCATGACTGGTCCCTAATCATGCAGTGGCTTCCTGACATTCTGCTCTAGTATAGGTACAGTACCTGCTTTCCACAAACAGCACCCTATATACACTTCGGTCTCTCTTACTTCCTTACATCATACGCCGCTTGTTTGTTCATCATTAGGAAAACTACAAAAGTTGTGCACTAATAGCATTAACAAATTCGTGTCACCTTCATCTATTCAAAGCATGCCTTCACACTAACTTTCTAGACTGCAATATAGAATATAGAATATTATATAATATTATAGAATACTATAAAATGTAAAATGGGCATTATAATAGCTATCTTCAGCTTAATGACTGAATGTCGTTCCAAAGTAGATTTTCCAGGGTATCTGCAAGACACCAACAGGGGGATTGACCCCACCAATTGTTATGGTATTATGGATGGGATTATGCATGCAAAACTGCTGTAAAACAATATACAGAAGATAGTGGGTGACTTGCAAAAATACTATCTATTACAATCAGAACAACACCGTATTAGGATTTAACTTTTATATACAGCAAATGAAATAATTTAAATATATGATTTCAATCCTTTATAAAGGATGCCAATAAAGAATAAGTTCTAAACCCTAGGAATAATATAAAATGAAGCATAAAAATGATGTTGCCATTGTATCTAACCTCGTTTTCATGCTTTCTTTATATTATTCCCAGCTCATATCTTCGTTGTTCCAAATTGATTTCGAATCAGAGTCGGAACTATCGTACATTGAATAAACGTCATCTTCGTCGTCGTTGTCTGCAGAATTGTCTTCACAAGCAATTTCATGCGAAATACTTCTATACGAAAAATACATACTTTTTTATTTTCTTTACAATACTAGCAATCGCTTCGTGATTATCGTGATCGGAAGAGGCAACAGTTGATCTGTAAAATATTGATAGAAGGGAAAAATGCACATTGGAATATTATGTGTACCTGGGGAATGATAAATTTGTAGCTTGAAAAATTTACAACGTAAGGAATTACGTTCATACCTTAGTTCTTGTAGCTGACACAAACTTTGTACCTATTTTGCTTGCCAGGATAAGGAAGATGATTTCGTCACTAACATTAAAAAATATTGCAAATCAACTATAAACATTAATTGTTCCAGTTTCAAGAAACTGCAGACTAGAATTCTAGAAAGTATTAATACAAGTGCATAAGCTCACTTTCTCGTTCTTTTAATAACGATTCTTCCTGCTTCTTCCAAGACTCGACAAGATCAGCATCGTAGGACACTAAAAATGAAGTGTTTAAGTATTGTACAATTAAATATCTACAATCTACATATTATCATTTTCAACTTTTAAACTAATTAATCATTCTCAGATGCCACAGCAATCACCTGTCAATTTTGAGAACATTTCTTCCAACTGTAACCTGGCATTTACCATAAGTTTTTTAGTTTTTTCCACTTTTTTGGGCAATGATGTTCCTTTTTCAAAAAAGCATTTACTTAGATTTCTACTGCATTCGATAAAACACAATAGAATGGCTAGATGTTCTAAGTTACCAAATTGTTGAACGTGGTGTTCTGCATAATGTACCAGGGCATCTGTCAGCAAATTCACACAACGGCCTCCAGACATCTCTTTTGCCATGGATGAAAACCCTCTTAAGTATGACCATAACCTTTCAATCCCTTCTCCATCAGTAAGACCATAACCTTTCTTACATCTGGGGCCATAAGAAAACTACAGCAGTAAATATTAAGCAAACATTTATGAACTTTAGACATATTAGCTAGTAACAGTACATTACTTTACCTGACATGACGATTTATGACCATAGCAATGAAACACTCGGATAGCAAGATCTATTCTTTCAAGTATATCAACACAATGGTTTTTCTATGTAAGAATACATAATTATAACTTGGTCATTTATTCATACAGCATTAAAATTGCAGGAAATGAAATTTTTACCTTCAAGTGTGATGACAATGTGCATCCAATGTCATACATAACTCGTACGTCAATAGTGTCACCAGAATTACACAACATACGTTCTACTTCATAGACCGAATAGGATATCCTAAACAGAAACAAAATATGCAAAAAAAGAATAAGGAATAACAGAACTAAGTATAAAGATGTCTATCGAAATGATACAGCTAGCATAATGACCTTTCTCCATGTTTAATACTGATAAATCCTTTCGGATATTCATGTCTACACACACGACCAAAAACACCTTTCTCATCAAAAAGTTTGTTTTTTCCCTTAGATCTTAACATAGTGTAAATTTCTCCAGATTTGAACTGATTGCAATCCTTGGTAAAAAAAAACAATGAATTGTTGCTGCCGCAGCGAGCGAGCCTGGGGCGAGCGAGCAAGGCAGCAGACCTAATTGATGTAAGTTGGGAATTTTTTAAATTTTGCGCTTTAGCGCATTGCATTGTGGTCGAATATTAGATAGACCCACAATGCTATGCGTGAATCTTATATAATCTTCCCATGTGCTTCAAAGTGCTTCCTTTTCCATTGGGCATTCTGGTGAACAGTTACAATTAATCTCGAATTCGGCGCGGCCAAAGTTTTGTGAAATTAACTGTAAAGAATTTTGTGAATTCAGCATTTCATCGCTGATTATTACATTCGCGGATCATTAATCGAGACTGCAGGTAAGCAAACATGTTATGTGCCGTTGATCGCAAATATATCTTTGAATAACAACGTGCTCATGCCTTTCGCAGAGGCTAGGCGATATAAATAACAATTACTTGATGATGCTATTTTTGTTTTAACAGAGTTTCCGATATCATTCTACTCTCCTCAAGTTGGTGTTAAGCACAGTAAGTTGTTGTCAGTAAAAGATAATTTTTATAAAATTTAATAGATATATAGATATTTTACCACTTCCGATTTCACTCGCTGTATTTGCTGCGCTTTTGGTGGTTTAGCCTTAACAAACAACATTCGAACAACAAAGCATTGTATATTTGAAAGATAGTTAGCTTATATTTATTGACATTTATGTGCATTGCCATTCATAATTATTCGCTATTAAATTTACATATTTGTGCGTGCTCTTTGCCCCGGAACTTTGAATTTTATAACACCTGTTTGCTTCTTTATATGCAAAGCATTAAATATTTGAAAGACAGAGCACTCAGTCAACTTAAATTTGTCGATATTTATTGTTATTGGTGAATGATAATTGATATTTTCTATTCAGTCTTTGTGTGTGTGCCGTTCTTTAATGCCCCTCGGATACATACAGTATATACCATTGACATTTGATACAGCATTAAAACAGCTTCGATTTGACTTGCCAAATTTAGGATAACACGTGTTATAGTTTACCACTTCCGATTTCATTCGCTGTATTTGCTGCGCTTTTTTGTGGTTTGGCTTTAACAAACAACATTCGAACAACAAAGCGTTTGTATATTTGAAAGATAGTTAGCTTATATTTATGGACATTTATGCGCATTGCCATTCATAATTATTCGCTATTAAGTTTACATATTTGTGCGTGTTCTTTGCCCCGGAAATTTGAATTAAAACAGCTTCGATTTGACTTGCTGAATTTAGGATAACACGTGTTGGCTTTTTATGCATAGCGTTATATATTTGAAAAACAGAGCACCCAATCAACTAATATAAGTTGATAAATATATATTAATGTTCATTATTATTGATGAATGATATTTTCTATTCAATTTATATATTTGCGTGTGTGTTGATCTTTGCCCCTTGGAATTTGAACTCTAAGACTTTGAATGGTTGAACCACTATAGCATTGACATTGATTCACCTCCCATTTCACTTGCCTAATTTAGACTTTAGACTTTTACATATAGCTTCAAATACACTTCTTTTATTTAAAATATTTCAACATTTTTCATATTCCTGTGTATTGACATATTTGCTGCTGGTTTGTTTTAAACTTATTTGGTGTGTATTTTACATGCCTCGTTTTTTGGTGTGTATTTTACATGCCTCGTTTTTGGTGTGTATTTTACATGCCTCGTTTTTTGGTGTGTATTTTACATGCCACTTGCTTTTTCTGTGTTTTTGAAGTGTACTATATATTTTGATATTGATTGTTGTGAATTGACTTCAAAACATTTGTTTTATCCGGTCAGTTGCAGTTAAAATTTGAAATGTCTTATGACCAAGGACAACATAGTCAATCTTTTCTTTTTAATCCTCTTCATGCCAAATCTCAAACATTTTTGTGTTCATTAGTTGACTTGCCATTAGTAAAGGAGCATAAATGCAATCATTCCATGCATAAACAACTTGGTAAACCAATACAGTTGCACAGTATTCAAGGTGATGGTAACTGTCTATTCCGAGCATTATCGTATGCTGTTACTGGGCGGCAAGTTTATCATGCTTCTTTAAGATATAAAATTGTTAATCACATGAGAGAAATTGAAAATTTACTTCAACCACATCTGGGTATGTCCTTAACTGATTATCTTAACAGCAGCAGAATGGCAAATGACAAAGTTTGGGGGACAGATGTTGAAATTCTAGCTGCATGTTCATTGTTAAAAACAGACATATATACATATACTAAAACAAGTGATGGTTACAAATGGAATAGGTTTTCTATGTCAATGCTAAATGGTTCAGCACCAGAAAATGACTGTGCAATTTATATTAATCATACTAATGGTGTGCATTATGACATTGTAATTGATGTTAGTGTTGATTTTTACAACAATAAAAGTGTAGATTATGAAAAACAAGATAAAAAAATAGGTACGCAATGCGTACATGTGGGTAGCCTGTAAAACATTATTAATGCGACAAGTGAAATATTGCATTATAATTTATAAAACAGGGCAACTTGTTACTACCATCTGCAATAAATTAATGTATTTGGTTTAATAGCGGCATGTCCACAAGCAAGAAATTGACAGATGAAATATTGCATTATAATTTATAAAACAGGGCAACTTGTTACTACCATTTGCCGAATTATAATTTATAAGACACGGCAACTTGTTACTACCATTTGCATTAAGGTAATGTATTTGGTTTAATAGCTGCATGTCCACAACAAGAAATTGACAGGTGAAATATTGAATTATAATTTATAAAGCAGGGCAATGTGTTACTACCATTTGCAATGAGGTAATGTGTTTGGTTTAATAGCTGCATGTCTACAAGCAAGAAATTGACAGGTGAAATATTGCATTATAATTTATAAAACAGGACAACTTGTTACTACCATTTGCCGAATTATAATTCGTAAAACAGGGCAACTTGCCAACTTGTTACTACCATTTGCAATAAGGTAATGTATTTCGTTTAATAGCTGCATGTCCACAAGCAAGAAATTGCCAGGTGAAATATTGCATTATAATTTATAAAACAGGGCAACTTGTCACTACCATTTGCCGAATTACAATTTATAAAACAGGGCAACTTGTTACTACCATTTGCAATAAGGTAATGTATTTGGTTTAATGGCTGCATGTCCAGAAGCAAGAAATTGCCAGGTCAAATATTGCATTTAATATAATTTATAAAACAGGGCAACTTGTTACTACCATTTGCCGAATAAGGCAATGTTTTATTTATTTTCTATTAGTGTAACTTTGTAGTTGTAGACTCAACGCTCACCGATCACCGCTTTTTCGTCTTTAAAGTATTCAACTTCGCTTTAAAATTTGCCAAAAGTATTAACGTAACTTCGGTTGCTTCCGTCCTTAGAAAACAACGAAATTTTCCGGAAGTAGAACGTACCGTTCGTCATCTTTCGTATGTCCGACGATTGCCGAAGATGTGGCACCCACACACAAACATCCGGACACTTTTTCGACTACATAGTGGTTAGCTGCGCATGCGCAGGCTACCCACAAAAAAATGCAGATCAAAAGATGAAATGGTTTTTTCTCCTGCTAACTGTCAAGCACAACAGTTCATGTGCTCCTTAGTTGATTTGCCACTTATTAATAAGCATAGTTTTGAGGTGGCAAAGAAACCTCTTACAACTCCTTCTAAGTTCTACTATATTCAAGGTGATGGTAACTGTCTATTCCGAGCATTATCATATGCTGTTACTGGGCGGCAAGTTTACCATGCTTCTTTAAGATATAAAATTGTTAATCACATGAGAGAAATTGAAAATTTACTTCAACCACATATGGGTATGTCCTTAACTGACTATCTTAACAGCAGCAGAATGGCAAATGACAAAGTTTGGGGGACAGATGTTGAAATTCTAGCTGCATGTTCATTGTTAAAAACAGACATATATACATATACCAAAGTAGGTGATAGTTACAAATGGAATAAGTTTTCTGTCTCAATGTTAAATGGTTCGGCACCAGAAAATGACTGGTGTGCAAATAATGGTGTGCATTATGACATTGTACTTGATGTTAGTGTTGATTTTTACAACAATATTAGGTCTGTTGA